CTGTCAAAACTCAAGCCAGTGCTTTTCTGGACCACCGCAGGAAAGAAGGTAAGATGGAATAAGAGTGGCCTGTTTTGCCCTTACGAGGCAGAACTGAGAAGACTGAAGTAAGCAGCCTTGGGGAAAAAGGTAGCAGCATGAATGAGCTAATGGGTATAGCAGGCACTGTTGGTGCCGTGTCCACATCCTGCTCTCAGCACTCCCTCTCCATCCCAAAGGCTGCTCACAGCCAACACCTACCACTCTGTGCCTGAAACCTCATTTTTGACCATTGGAACACACGCAACCCATGCACAGGACAAGTCAGAAATGCCGTTGGGAAAGACAAGAGGCGCCTTGAGTGTGCTGCAACCCATTCCTCTGTGAACAGTGGGGCACCCAGTCAGGTTTTGAAAGCCTGCCTCCCCCAGCACTCTACTCCAGCTCAAAGCATTGACAAATAGAAATGACAAGCAACAGGATATATTGGAGGAATGAGGAAACCATTTGGTGTAAACCTAGTTCGGCCTGACTTTGTTTTTTCCAAAAGGGCCTGACCGTGGCCATTAAGCATGCATTGTATATCTGCTTTAAACATTTACTATGGCAAGAACAAATGGCCTTAAGATAAAGGTGCAACTTCCCCCCACATTGGCCTTCCTTAAGGATAAGCATCTTTCCTTAGGCCAGGAACCAATTGCTGCACTCAGCTTTGACCGCCCAGCTCAAGACAACAGACTTGCTTCCTGCTGTGTCCACCGAGATAGTAGACCTACCTGCTATGTCCATCAATCACTGTGCCGACAGAGCAGTCTTAAGACTATTGTAAAAGGGATATTTCAGTCATGCGAAACATTCTCTTTGGGGGTGTATAACCACTCTGTACACCCCACTTCTTTGGTGCCCTTTCTTCCTTCGGGAAGAAAGCCCCCAGGCCATGGTCCTCACACTTTAGCTCAGAATAAACTCACCCAAATTTTCATTTATAGATTGGTTACGGATTATTTTCATTGACAGCATATACTACCCAACAACTGGGACTCATCTCCCAAAACATAGATCAGGGCAGCTGTGCACAGCAGGCTGAATTTTCTCATTGGGTAAGTGCTGGAAAGGTCCAGGCTCCAGAGAAGAGCTGAGCATCAGGGAGAGATGAGGAGGCTGGAGCAGAGCGCCCTTATACACTTGGGCTTAGGAAAGAAGTCTTCAATGCCCATAGCGCTGTGGAGGGTGGTGAGTGGAAGAGGAAATTGACCTTCATGGACTGAAGGTGGGCCCTGCCCCCTACCCCTCCTGCATGTACATGGGGGACGACTCCTTCCTCTTTACAACATTGCTCAGGGCGCCTGACTAACAAACACCTTCTCCTGTTGTTGGATTTGTAGATTGGACTTTGCAGATATGAGAGAAGGAAGCAGTTATGATGGAGCCCCTCCTGATTCCTCTTTATCCATCACCTTCAGGAATTCCTTCATCTGCCATTTAGTTACTTCCCTCTGAAAAATTCTAAGTTCCCAGTTTTCCAGTAGAAATTCTTAAAAATCTAGAAATGGACCTCTCTCTGCAGTTAATTCCAAGAGTCAGCTGTGTTCCAGAAGCTGGGCTGGGCTGATAGACAGTTTTGCTCAGTAATCTGCTCCTTCCTCCTCCTCTTCTTCCGTTCTTTTCTTTTAAAGGGTGTCAGCCATGTCTAAATTGCATTTCAGACCATAATACTCTCTTTCTTCATGGCCATAATGCCCACAATCCTTGATAGGAATAGGCAAGTTTTCCAAAATTCGGCAGGAAGGTTTCAGGGAACAACTGAAAACACCTCACCCCACCATGACCGGAGGGAGTTCAGAACATACCCTCTGGTTCTTCTCAGGTGAGTGGGCAGCATTAACATGAATCATGCCTGCCTCAGAATAGGTAGGACAAGCAGCTACCCTACAGACACAAGAAAGAGGAGGACAGAGGAAATGACTGAAAGGTTTGGCAAAAAGATAATTTGAGTAAGAGAGAGGTTTTTTATGAAGCAGAATCTGATCTTCTACCTGAAAGTCATGTGACAGCACCTAGATTGACCCTCATGCCCCAAACACGTACAATGCCAAACATGGCTGCCTGGCACATTCCCTCTTCCCATGAGGCTTACCTACGTTTCTGCACTTGGTGTCTGAAATTCTCCTGTACCCTGACAGGAAATCTGCTTTACCTAAGTTAACTTGAGAGGGCTTTCATTCTTTTCAATCAAACGTGCTGAGAGACAGCCGACATAGAAGGCACCTCTAGTCCCCTGGGTGCTGTTCCCACACTGACTGCTGCTCCCTGGGGAGTGGAGAAGGGGCATGGCTCTAATACCAAGCAATTCAACCAACAGATTTCAGCCCTGGATCCACTGCCTCTCCTCCTCACCCCTCCAAGTCTGTGTTTCCTATAGAATGAAAATGTTTTAGGCTTTCCACAGCACTTTCTTTTTGGTAAATAAATCCTAAGTGGGGAAAGTGCTCTGAGGAAGGAGGGACATCCTGTAAAACTAGGTCCTAGGTACAGACACCCACTGACTTTTCCTCCCAGCATTTCCCAAAGAGATGAATGGATTCAATTTTCCTACGTGTTCACTTACACCACCAGGCAGCGGAAGACTGTTTCTGCAGGAGGTGCTGGGTTTTGCTATTTATTGTAGGGATTTTTTCAGCCGCTGTTAGCAGCTACTTTCTCACAGTTCCGAACACGAGCCCAAGTCAAAGGAGCTCAAGTGAAAGAAACAAGCAAATGGATGAATATGACAACTTGGATCAATCAAGGACAGCTTTGTCAGGAATTTCTCCTGGCCTGAGCTGGGGGTGGGAGATGGGATGCAGAAATCCAGACCGACAAAGAGGTCAGAACTTCAGGCTCTCTCACACATGGATGCCTCTGCTCTCTCATGTTTGCTTCAGTCTTCTGTCTTTGCAGATGGACTCTTTCCGATTCTCTATCACATGGATGAAGATGGCACCCCACCCCACCAGAGTTTCGTATTATAGGTCTAATCATATGAGAGAATAGGTATCTCAAATTCAATAAAATTTTCCAGGAGACAAGATTTTGCTGATCCTGCTTTGGTCAAGTGTCTGCCACTGATCCAGTCAACTGAGACCAGAGGAGACAGTCTTGGAATGGTCACATGGTTTGGCCCTTGAGTGGATGTGTCAGAACACACTCTCCCACCCAGTTCACGGCACGTTGTGAGCCTGGGCCTGACCTCCATACAGAGGCAAACATGGCCATCCTGCCACCACTACCAGGTGATAACCACTATTAGAACCAGACTTTTTCTGAGGAGGGAAAACTTCTTGAGGAAATGAAACACCCAGTGGATGAATAAAGAGTTTTGTTAGAAATGCCAGTTGACATCAGACTGAGTGGGTTTAAATCAGAGTGTGCAGCATCTGTACAATGATTCACAGGTAATTGAATCCACAAAGGTATCAGATACCCCCTGCTGAGCTTAATCAAGACTCAGGTGCACAGCTAATGACTCCAGCTCCACCCTCAGCATCAAAACTCAGGAATAATTTGCATAGGCAGAGAGGAGCCCTGGGAAAAGGAAGTTTGGGGTAGGTGCCTGGGATTGTAATGAGGAAGAAAGGCAGAGAGGGAACAGTGAGTTTTCTGACTCTGTCCAACCCATGGATGATTTTGAGTTGAAGAGGTTGGATCAGAGTATCTCACCCCAAAATATGCCACTTTGACAGAAGGATTATTTTGAGATGAAGGCAGTTTGGAAGAAGCAGATACAAGAAAAAGTCTCTGGCCTCACCCTCTCTCCCAGGGAGGGCAGGAGGATGCTTAATCATCAGAGGCAACTCTAGATTCTTTTCTGCCCAGAGAAATCTACATAAAACAATCTTACTGAGCAGGCCTTATCTTACATTAGTTTCCACATATTATTACTTACCCGTAATTTGTCATCCCTAAAAGCCTACACTCCTTTTCTCTTGTCACTCTCTACAAAATTATCGTTCTTGATTAAGATGTTACATAAGCCCAGGTTCTAATCAGTGCTTTGAGTTACCCATGACTGAGTACTCCCATATGTATGTGCGATGCTGTCATCATTACACTTCTATTTTTCTCTTGTGGATCAGTCTTCTGTCACTCTAATTTACAAGGTCTCAGCCAGAGAAACAGGTGGGGGGGGGGGGGGAGATGCTTCCTCGCCTACACAGTCCTGTAATGAAAGCAACTATAGGCGAAAGCTGACAGAGGCTTTTTTGACAAAGTGATGAGTGGGAAGGACAGGAATGGCAGATGGAGATGAACCACCAACAGTCTACTTGGTCCCTTAAGGACAGCATGTGATGGAGAATCATGGAGGCCAGTACCTCTCTTGAGGGCTGGTTGCTCTGGGAGGAGGACATGACATCACTGACAGGCATGCTGGGGTTCTCAGGGAAGTCCCCACAGGAAAGAGAGCACTGAGACCCCTGGAACAGCACTGAGGGAAACAACATGGAAACTGGAGGAGAAGAAGAGCACTGGATGCCACAAACAGGCCGGTAAGCATGTGTGGGACACGCTAGGCTCTGGTCTTCATGTGCAGAGACTCTGAAAGGATCCGAGTGGGAAATCTGGTCAAGTCACAGACATTTGACCTTCAAGCAATACATTGTGCTTTGTAATCCTCACTGGTTGTGTTCTTCTTTCCATTGAAAGAGAGCTCAAATATCATAGATGCAAGTTGAGAAGCCTGAGCAGTTGAGGAGAAAGTGGGAACCAGGCAGGAAGTGTTGTGTTCATCAAACCATCCATTTTCCTCTGGGTCACACCAGATTACATTGCAGATTGCAAGATTAAATTTCTTATTTCGTTGGAGGCAAAAGATAATGGGATGTGGGCAGAAATGATGTACAAGACTTCCAGTTCTGGCCACAAAAGCCCCTGTGGGTCTCCATGCCTCCTTCCCCTTCTGTGGAGACCTTGGAGACTGTGAGAGATGGTGACATAAAGACTTGGCAGGAGCTTGGGTACCTGAATAATCACCACCACATCGCTGAACTGTGAAACAAGTTAGCAATCATTTTTTATTGTTTTAAGCCATTGATGTTTCAGAGATTTGTGTTATAGCAACTAACTTACTTAACTAATACATCATTTAGAGCCACCTCACACTTCCTACTCTTTTAGGTTTTGAAGAATCTCCCTCTTCCTTCAGCTACTGCCTCTAGAGCACCCAGTATTAAAAGCATCACAGTCTTCACCAGACCCTGCCTTTTTAAATGGCAACCAATGTGACTCTTAATTAGGGACTGAAAAGGAAGAAGGTATGCTTGGACCTAACTATGCCCACCATTCTTCACCCACGTTTGGTTTTAAAGACTATCCTGGCGGCATCCCGCAGTGAGGGAAAGAAAAGGAAATAGGGCCCGAAAACAGAACAAATCTGAGACTTATTGGAGGGAACCCATATTCAGGTCGCAGCAGTCTTGAAGATTACGGTAGTTGAAAGTTATGCTGAATCAACTTTATCCACCAGATCAGGGCAAAAGCTGGGCGTGGTCTTTAGAACTTGTTGCAGAGAGGTGAGTCATCACAGCATTTCAAATCCACAGCAACATTGGGACTAAAAAGCAATATATCAGTACATATGCTGCTGCAACCCTGAGATCCATACGAAATGGTGTCATCTGAAGAAAGACAGAGAAGAGGGAAAATGAGACCCCAGAAGCTCATGTTGCAGACCCATGGGTGTGGCGCCTAGCATATCCTCACTTGCAGTTCTCCATAAATATTGATAAATGAAGCAGTGGATGTAAGCATCAACAAATTAATCAAAGAATGAGGAGAAAATGACTCATGCCATCAAGATTCATACTATCTGCCTCCGAGGACTGAGATACTTCAGGTAGAACCCCTAGTGAGCTTTCCTAGGATTGCTCTGGGGCTCTCTATATCTAGGATTCAATAAACCGGGGCACATAAGAGGGGGCAGATAAAGAGGAATAGAAATTCCCCTATCTACTGATCCCTACTCCTCTCCTCCAACTTCTGTTCTCAGTTCCAAAAATTCCACCACATTCGGGTCCACTAATGGGAATTTGAGCGGCCCAATTCCAGTCACCCCCAGGAGCTAAACAGAAGATAGTTGCTTCCCCTTTTACATGTCACCAACCCAGTTAAGGGCCAGTGGCAGCTCAGTACCAGAACCAGCTGAAACGGCTTCACTAGTTTAGGTGAAAAAAGAAAACCAACTCCCTGCCTGAGCAGCTCCTACTCCCAGGGATCCTGATGGGCCACCTTCCAGGTCCAATAGCCACATGACTTGTCACTGGGGCCTAGGCTCCCAGGAGGTCCCATGGGTGGATCATACCACCCTCCACCTTGAATGCCTGTTGCCAGCCCCTACCCTCAGGCAAAGGTCACCCCAGGAGACTTCTCAGGACCCACCTACCTTCATAGACCTTCCTCACATAGCACTGCTGGCTCCCTTTAGTCTGGCAGAAGCTCGCCCCACTCTGGCAAACTCCACTGGTGTTGACTCGATCACACTTGAGACATGTTAGAGCTGGAAAGTAAAAACCAACATAATGATGCTCTTCTGGCCCAGCGTCCCTGCTGGTCAGGAGAGGAAACACACCCTCTGGCCCAGACTCAGACTGCACAATGACAAGTTCCCACTGCCTGATGAATGTGCTGAAAGCCTGTTGTGATTTCTCAGTGCTTAGCTCACACCTGGGAGGAGGCCTGCGTGCCCCTTGGTGCAGGATCTGTGCCCAAGAACAGACAGGATCTCCCTCAACTCCCAGAGATGGACTGTACTGCCAGAGGAAGAAGATCAAGCACTACAATACAGCTCACCTGACTCCATTAACCATCACTCCCACCACAGGGCTGTGCTGTGGCACGACACCAGAGGACACCGTTCAAAACATATTCCATGTGAATGGCATATGCAGGGGAACAACAAGTGAAGTGTTGGAGTTGTGCAAAGAATCAGGACTGCCCACCCACTCTCCGTCCTCCTTGTAGCACCACGAAGTCCGTCCTCACCCTCCTCCAATCAGAGCTGGCACCCTCCACTCTCTCTTTCACCCCAAGAGCAGGGCTCCTTACGAGAACCAGGAGACTCAGTTTAAAAGGGGTGCTGACAGGTGTGGGTAAGGCAGAGAAAGAAAGATGGGGAAGGAAAATGGGAAGTAAAAGAGAAGATCAGTCGGAGGCAGAAAGTGCAAGATTGAGGAAAGGAGAAGAAAGAAGAAGAGGGAGTGAGGGAGCTGCGGGCATCACCTACAAATGTTTGCCCTGGGGCTGCAGCTCCTCACTCTTCCACAGCCTTGGGGGGAGCAGCCAGCTCACCCATGCAGGGATTCAGCAAGCACTGGGCCCCTGCTATGTGCTGGGCACTTTTCCAGGGCTTAGGAAAGATGATGAAAGGGAGGATGAAACATATTTCACTTATTTACATAAACACTAAGCAAGAAATTGGGAGAATGACTGACAATAAACACATGAGAAAGATTATTTCAGGTCCTGGTGACTTATGAAGAATGGAAGACTGAGTACACGTGACAGAGACAGTATGGGAGGTAGTGGCTGTTACTTTAGACAGGGTGTTCAGAAAAGTTTTCAGAAGGCTTACTTAAACTGAGATTTCAATGACTGAAAAAACAAAACAAAACGCTGACCATTTAAATAACCGGGAGAATTTGGGAAACTGGTTCCAGGAAGATATAAGGGCAAGTGCAAAGGTTCTGTGATAGAATCAGCTTGTTCAGGTCAAGGAACAAAAGGACAGCACAGGTGGAGAAAAGTGAAGAAGGACGAGAGTATTAGACACAAAATGGAAGAGGCTGGTAGGGGCCAGACCATAAAGCATCTCTTAGACCTTCATTATGGAATACGGCAACCACCAGCCACGTGTGGCTATTGAGAATATGAAATGTGACTGGTCACAGAAGATGAGCTGTAAGTGTATTTCAAACACTTAGTACCAAAACATTCTTTTAATTGCTCATCAATAATTTTTATGTTGATTACACGTTGAAATGATAATATTTTAGAAATACTGGGTTAAATAAAATATATTATTACAACTACTTTACACATTTCTTAATTTGTTAATGTGTCTACTAGAAAACTTACAATCTCGCATGCAGCTTGCCTTATGCTGTAGCTGGGCAGGACAGTTCCAGGCCATCGGAGGACTAGAATTTTACTCTCCATTGGAGGAGACCGTGGGAGGCTGTGAAATAGGGAGTGACATTAACTGGTCTATGATTTTCAAGTACACTCTGGCTCCTGTGCAGACAATGGATTTTAGAGAAAGAAAGGGTAAAAGAGGACCAGGTAAGAGATGGCGGAAACAGGAAGATGGGAATAAAGCCACCAATCACCAGAGTCAAAGGAAAACATGAGAGATTGTAGGTCAGGAAGAAATGAAATATGTGTGTACGAAGCAGAGGCTGAGAACCCACAACAGAGCAAAGAGCAGGGACTCTAAATGCTCTCGCTTCAGCTTCATCATTTTTTATGGAGTTTAAATCTGAAATTATATATTTATTTTGTTATTTACTAATGCTTTCTTATGTAGAGGTAAAGCATTACAACAGGAATGAACTTGGAAAAGTGCCTGCTTAATCCAACACTAAACACTCAATTCCCCTTCCTCCAAGTTACCTGTGACTATAGAATTTGTACAAACTGTGCATCAACATTTACCATCCCCATGGTGCCTGTGCCATCTTGGATCACAGGAAAACCTGCAGAAGACGCAAGTCTGCTTAAGAATTTCAGCAGCTATTTTAAAAGTGAGTAGTCATTTTAAGAAAACTGGGCCCAAAGTTGACATAATGTGTGCAGCTGCAGCAGAGGTTCCATGTATCACTGACTGAAGCAGGTGCCCTGAGCAGCCCCTCCCCCGGACCCTTCACCTCCCCCTCCAGGTGCTGAAGGCTGCTCCTGCAACACCTGCACGTCCACAGGGAGTGGTGGGAGCACACTCTCGTGCACCCAGGGCAAATTGGAATATTAGGGAGCAGGTGCCCTGGACACATCCCTCTCCAAGCACAGTGGGGGATACTGGTGGATGATACTCCAACTTTCTCACCCCTGAGTTGGGGTGGCTCGAGGCTGGCTCTGCCCTGTCCTCAGAATTTCCCTGCAGGCTGAAGCTCCATTTGCCCACCTGGCTGTCTAGCTTGATGAGGCATCCTTTATCAGCTTCCTTCCCTTCCCTGTCTTCCTTCCTCACTCCTCACGCAGGTATTTCCTGGGACTACCTTCCAGACTAATGACTTTTATTCATAACTTTTTCTCAGAGTCATCTTCTGAGGGACCACCAGCCAGGATGATGAATTTTCACTTAGATCAAATAAATGTTCTAAATTGATTTTTATACCTAGATATTTTATTCCAACTCTTCCTGTGCATATACACAAAAAAGGAAATGCTGAGTATTAGTAGGCTGATTCCATTTGCAGAAGAAGAACATTACAAACAAATGATGCCAGTTAATGCCAATGATCATTCCATTTTTCAATCAATCCATGGAATCAAATAAAAGCTGTGGAAATATATTCTGTAGAAGGTGAAGCATCTGACTTTTTGTGAGTGATAGAAAATTCAGTTTAAAAAGTCCACATTGAACATAAAGTCATTGATTTTTGTGGTGATACTATGGATACAAATGCTGGTGGAGCATAGCATTGTAGCAAAAACAAAATTCTTACTTTAGAATCTATGGAACCAAAATACACTTACAATTGGTTGTGATGGATAGATAATTCTTAACTGTGTCCTAATTGTGTCCAAACAAGTGTGACAGTGTGTGTGTCTGCATACATACATGCATACATATAAGGTATAAATGAATTTATATATTTTTATATGTGTATGTTTGTATACACACACAAATAGAATGACTATAAAAGTTTTAAGGTGAAGGTGATGCGGAATAATAATTACTCTTCAGCAATCTTTCTCCCTGTTGTCTGTTTTCAATCAGATTTTGAAAATGAAAGAGACGGTGTCAAGATGGCAGTATAGGCAGACTCTGAACTCACTTCCTCTCTTGGATACAACAAATTTACAACCACTCTTAGAAAAATTAACCCTGAGACAGAACTGAAAACTGGATAAAAAGAACCCCTACAACAAGGGACAGTGCTAACCAAGGTGGAAGAAGCAGAAATTCCTTTCTGAGACAAAAAAAGCCACTCCCTGAGATGTGGCACTTCACAGCCTGCCAGGAGCAATCCTACAGTATACAGCCTTCCCTGGAGGGGAGGGAGATCTGAATGGGGGTGTTACCACTATAAGCAGCTTTTGGACTCAGCACAACTGAGATAAGTGTCATAATAACTGCTATTGCTGGTTACTAACAACAACAGGGAATACTCCTAGAAAATCTGTCAGACATACAGGGAAAAAGCCTGCTGTTAAAGAGCCCTCACAAATTTTAGAAAGCAACCTAAAATCACTAGGAAGAAATGTGCACAGTCCTTTGGGGAAAAGAGTCTCACTTGATAGCCTCTGGGTGCATCTCAGTGAGAGGTGAGACCTCCCCAGGGGCTGAGACATTGATAGCAGCCACTATTGTGACCTAATACAGGCATGCTGGCACAGACACTGGCAGATGCTATTAGAGTTCTTCCCTTGGCCTAGCCCAGGGGTCTGTCCCACCTACTAGAGCACTGCTTTAATCCAGCTCAGCCAGGGCAGGCAGTCCCTCGTATGGACTGGCTCCACCCAACAGCAAGCCCTCAGGCAAGTTCTGGGCCTGCGTAGGTGGGGTGCCTGGAAGTTCTGCAGCCAGGTGAGTGGGTCCACCTCTGCAGACCAGGGCACATGCATGTAATGGGTGGAGTGTGGGGGGCTTTGGTGGAGTGTATGGGTCCTCTGCAATGGGGCAACTGAGTCCACCTCAGCAGGTCAGGGCATGTGCACAGGGCAAGACTATGTTGATAGAGTGTGTGGCCCTGTGGGTAGTGGGGTTTACCAGTTTCAAAAGTCTTGTGCTTCTCAAACAGCCACATAAGGGATCAGCCCCAACTGCCAAAGCCTCAAACAATTGGGTGCTCCCATGCCTGGGGCCAGCTCCACAGAGCTTCAATCTTGAGAGAGTTGACAATGATATTTCAGGCTGGAGACCTACAGCAATTGTAAGCCCCTGAGCCTAGCAACCAGCCATACTGGGGCCCTACTCACTTAATATAAAAACTTCAAAAGGAATGTGCTATTAGACCTTCAGCCAATTGTGCTGGGGCTCCCCACACCTGAGAAAGTGACTGAAGGGTCCATAGAAACCACGTGCAGCTGAGCATTACAACCAACCAGCCAAGAGGACAGCTGAGCCTCCCTAGGCACCTGCAGCAAGAGCAACCCTCAAACAACAAAAGGACACATGTAGCCCACACAGGGCACACTCCTGGAACATTTGGAGCTGATGGCAGGAGGGAAGCACACCGCTGGGGCTCATAAGGCATCTCTTACATAAGGCCACCTCTCCAACATCAGGAGACATAGCTGACCTACCTAAGACATAGATATAAGCACAGAGAAAGAGGC